TCCACTAATCCGTCAAAACCTGCGGAGGAGCGTCGTCCGCCACTTCCCTTCCGTATCCTGAAAAATGTTAATAATAAAATAGGGTGAGCGTAAGCTCAGTAGGAAGTGTCTAAGACACACTTCTTATGACCCCGTGAATCCACGTATAGAATAGAAAACAAGAGAATGGGATCATACTATACCGGAGATGTATACCAGAACCACAACACCCAATATAAACACATATGCCATCCAAGTCACAAACACACCATGTATGCCAATGAAGTGCAATGCCATGTTCATGTCGATCCCCACTTCCGAAATATTTCCATTTCAACATCCAAACCGTTAGTGTAATGCGACCCAAGGCACCTCCAAGGCATCACGAGGGAGGGGTTGGCTAGTTTTTCCCTGACCACATGGCACCTCCATGGCGTCATCTGGGTAGCTCAACCACACTAAAGTCTCTCTCTAACCCCCTTTAGATCACACTAACACCACGGACCACTAGGTGCCTCCTAGGCGTCCGGGTTTTCACAAATACTTTCGAAAATGTTTTCCCCAAAACAATTTCATTGGTTTAAAAAAAAAATACTTTTCCTTTTTTTTTTTTTTTAATGGATGCATGAATGCTTCATGCTTCACAATTTACCATAATTTTCACATCTTAACAACTTTTCATAATAAAGAAGAATTTTCTCATGAATTTATAGCATGTTTTAAGTCAACAAAATTTCTACAATTACACATATTAAATAAGGACATAATCACAAAAGCATACTTTCTATGACCAATCAACAAATCATACACACATATATTGTTTACACATAACACACATAGAGATACACATCATATATCTAGCATCATGGCAATTTTTCAAGAAAAATTTACAATAAATCCCATACATTCCATCTACATCACAGTTACATTATTAAGGGGAAATCCTAACATTTATTTTCATAATTTCAACATCACTTTTCTTAACAATTAAAAATGATGGGGCATCTAAAATATCAATATTAAGCATATATCTTTACCACCAAGTATGTAATCATAATCATAGGTTCAATTAACACATATAATACATCCATCACCTTAATTACATACAGCCATAACAACATAGGCAAAATTGCTAAAATCAAGCATGCTTAGAATCAAATTAAAGGGGAAAATTCACAAAAGATTAAAGAAAACATGAATTAGAGCACCCCTACCTCAAAGAATACAAAAACCCCAATTCCAAGCCCAATTTTCAAAAATTCTATGGTTGGCCAAAGATGAAATTGCTTACATCAACTTGAAGATCTCGCCGAGCTCTCCGTTTCGCCGCAAATAGCACAAAAAATCTCTCAAAAATGAGAGAGAAATCAAGGCCTTAAGGATGTAGATATAGAGAGATAGAGAGTTCTGGTAATGAGAGAAAGCTTGGTCACGATTTTTTTGGGAGAAAAATGATCAGCCAAAAGATGATATAACAATGTAATAAGTCAGTGCTTTGTGGGGCCCAGCAGAAAAATAAAAATAAGAAATATTACACAAACACAGTCTTAGTGTATATTAATTGAAGTAAAACGTGGCTAATTATAAACCACTTAACACTCATTGCAAGAGACAACATGAAAATCGCAAAGCAGAGGATTTGCGTCCATCAATTCATTGTTTATATCTTTTACACCCAATGTTGTACACTTGGCCTTACCAAATGTACTAGTTTAGTCAAAACCAAGACTAGACTAGCGTTATACTTGCAAGTTTGTAAGCCTTATACTGCACTAGAGAGGATTAATATTGGTTACTGTTGTGTGTTTTTGCATACTACTTATAAATTTACCACTCGCAACAGCACGAATCCTTGCAGAATAGTACTATAGAGAGGGTGTCGAACCCACAGAGAGATGAGTTAATAGATTTTGCTATCAACTAATTCTTATTGGTTCACAGGTAACTGATTGAATTGATTGATTGGTTGTCACGATTATAAACTAAAATTAAACTGAAATTAAACTAAAGTGATCAGAGAGAGAGAGGTCTTAGGGCTTTGACTTCACCACAACTTTGTGACTATGGTAAACTATTTCAACTCTGGGGATTTAATCATATTATATTTCAAATGAATTGAATTCAATAACATTTGTTCAATTCGGGTTTTAAATAAAGATGTTTTATAAAGTTCAATTAACTATACCCTATCTGCGGTTAGCATGGACTATCCACCTACCTACTCTAACTACTTTGCAAACAATCCATCTTTCCTAAGAATAGACCATGAAAACATTCTTTTATAAAAAAACGTTAGAACACCATTACATGACCTCCATTCTTATATCTGGCCGCCAGATACCGTCCAATAAGAATGGGTTGAGAATAGAAGACGAACAGTTATATCTAAGACAAGGTAATAACAATTTGAAAACTATTTAAAACATTAAATCCAATTAAGTTGTCTCAATTGCTCATAGTCATTTAATAAAAAACATAATATATATTAAAAATATCACAGAGTTAAAACAATCAAACCATAGTACTAGGTAGGGTTACATCAGTGCCCTAAGATAGGGATTAGCTACTCATGACGATGTCGGATATCATTTGTACTGCAGTCGTCTCCATCGTCACGGACGGCACTTCTCTTCTCAGGATCTTCACCTTTTAAGGTTATAGAAACCCTAAAAGACACCGCGCTATCAGCCTTCTGAATAACACCGAAAAAAGGACTTGGAATTTCGCCCCTCTTCTATTAAGGCTTAAGCCTTCTTTTATAGAAGAAAATAAGGATCTGGTGGGCTTTTAGGTCTTTTGGCCCATCTGGGGTGAAATACGCCTCAAAAAGGAATAATCCCGTAACTTGAAATCTAATCTACCATGGAAAGCTCGAGCTTTAGGAAGTTGAGCTCGAGCTTTAGGAAGTTGAGCTCGACCTTTGAGGTTCAGGCTCGAGCTTTGGGAACAAGGCTCGAGCTTCTCTGCATTCGTGCTTGAACTTCAAGGAATGGTGCTCGATCTTCACATTGACACTTAGCCAATTTTCTTCAACTATTTTCCGAAACGTTTTTTTTTCAACACTTAGAATATTTTTGGGATTAAAATCTTTTAACATTGCTCGATCCAAGCTTCATGGGCTCGAGCATTAGGTACCGGGCTTGAGCTTTAGGTACTCAAGGCTCGAGCATTGAGTGATGGTGCTCGATCTTTGAGTCTTGGCACGAGGCCTTGGGAGCTTGGTTCTTCAATTAAAATCAACTCTTTAAATTCTGACGCCTTGTGCTCGAGTTTGAGGGCCAAGGCTCGAACACCATTTGTTGACTTTTCTTCTTTTCTTCTTGTAAGGCTCGAACCTCAAGAGTTGGGCTCGAGCTATTGTTCTTGAATTCTTCCAAACTTCACCATTCAAGCTTTCGGCTTGTTCTGGATGACCGGCAACGACTCTGTAAGCTTCGATATCATCATAAAGTCCCGGTTTTAACTATTTCTTTAGGAAAGTACCTATAAACAAACATTAAACATAAATCAGTCTAACTATGGATAGAAGTATCACTTTAGGCCTTAACATGCATATATTTAGGGGTTCGAATATGCAAATATTCAGCGCTCATTAGTTACACGGTAACTTGGTGAGGAGCAAATGAGCTCTCATCAGGGCTGCAATTTGGGCGGGTTGGGCGAATTTGAGGTATAATTTGAGCCCAACTCATCATATGAAATGCTAAACCCAAGTCCAACCCTAACCCTATCTTTAACCCTAACTACTCAACTCTAACCCAACCCATCCTTCTACTTTTAAATTCGGGCTTGCAACTCGGGTTTAAATTTTGTGTTAAAACTTCAGGTTAATTCGGGTTACTCATATGGTTAATCTTTGCACCGAAATTTTAATATGATCTTGAATTAGTTTTAGATTAAATTACTCTTTAACAAGAAAAAGTTCAAAGACTTTTTATAGATTTTTAATAAATTACAAACAAATACTTAGAAAATTAAGTTTGCTGAATATTAACATACAATAAGTTAAAATTTAACGAAGAAAGTTGAAAAGAAAAAAAGGTAATCATAGTTTAAATATTATATATAATGTATTTTAAAATAAAAATATATATATAAATAGTATTATATTTCGAGTTCGGGTTGCTAACACTTCAACCCAAGCTCAAACCCATGTTCAATCCTAATTGTAAAAATAATTATCCAAATTCGTAAAAAATTGAACTGGACTCGGATTAAGTTCGAATTTCCCAACTCAAGTTACACCCCTAGCTCTCACCTACTTATATAGGCCTCGACCTTACAATGAATGGCTAATATATGTACAAGTGGTGTCGGTCGGGAATATTCTAGAATGAGTTTCTATAATGCTCCAATGAATGGTCGACTACTCTAGAGAAGTCTACACGATACTAGATATAAATTTAGGTGTTAATATTAAATTATTTAAATTTATTTTATACCACCTTTTGCGAAAGATGCATCTGTTGTTGATGCCATTTTGTATAATATTTCCCTGTCGGAATAATATTTTCTTTGCGATGAAACGACTTATTCTCTTGTAAATATGTAACCATTATATTACCTCCTTTTCTGGCTCTTTTTCTTTTGGCCAATTTCAAAGGAAAATGAAATGGGAACTGATTCCATTCCTGCCTTTGTTTACACTTGATTGATATATTTTGGTTTATTGGCCTGTCTCCCATTGCTTTGACGAGTGCATTTTTAAGATTTACTTGCATACGTTGCTTTTGAACAATTTTCTATCTTCTAGTGAAGTTTATAAAAACTGTATTTTAAATTCTACTTTTCTATCTTGATAGTGCTCACCGGTTTCAACCATAAGCTAATGAGGCTTTTGTATACAAGAATATGCAACAAAGTTGACCTCGTGTGCTGGCATTATCAAAAGGAAAATAAGTTAATTCTCATAGATATATTTTTTTGTCATTTTATTCTCGTAAAATAATACTCCGTATAAATTAGACCACAGTTCATTATCAGAAGGAACTCCAAGTGACCTCAGCTTTAGGTCAGAAATCAGCATAAAAAGCAATTGATCAAGATATTTAAGTAATATAACCTTTGGCACTTGACAACAATCAAATTGTAATGTGTAGCACCGCTTAGTAACTTTAACTTAATTGTTCCAATTTCTAAATGTTACAAAAATCTAACTGCATATGTACACTGCATTTATCATTTAAGCCCAGACCTTCGTTCAAGAATTGCAATCAACAAATTGGTGCTCTAAGGAGGATCAGGATGTTTCAGATTACCTTCGACTGCAACTTTGCCCAAAATGTTTGAGTAATTGATGAGATATACTGTTGCACTTTGTAAAACAAACCATTACCAGGTCTCTGCATACTAGCAATTAACCATTGATAATCTGATAGTGCAGTATCTGATAATGGCTCTAGGAACTCACACCTAGCCAAAATTTCAGCTGGGGGCGCTCCAGCAATAAGGTTCGTGTCAAGCTTTGGCTTGCCCTTCGTAAGCTCTCCAGACTCTTCAGCTTGGCCATTTTCAAGGGCAGAGGGAGATGCGCCAGGGATTACTTCCTGTTTGAAAGGCAATGCTCTGGCAGCTTGCAAACAGAACTCTACCCATTGATGGATCAGTGGAGATGGACCTCTGACTCGGCCCCCAATTCTATTTGTTGATAATCTTGAGGCAGCTGGGATTGCCTGCGAAGTGGATATAACTCGATATCTAAAAGAGGAAGCTAATATTCATTATTCATAACTAATCTGCATATGGATGAATGTTTTACAGTGATTATATTGACTGCCTTTCCCCAAATTTATTATTTTATCAATTACGGAGTCGTATATTTGTCATCAATAGCTGCAGACATCCATTAAAAAGTGCAAGAAAGAAAAAGAACACTACTAAATCAAGTGTGATAAATGGACTAAGTTACAACATTTTGTTTGGCCCAGAATAATTTTTATTATTATTTAAAAATAAAATAAAAACCGACAATATCTCATCCAAAGCCAAGATCCGGGCATGTCTGACCATGCCGAGAGACTCAATGTAGCAGATTTCCCAATCCAGACCCATATATTTATGCTTGTCTACCCCAGTTACGTTAACCCATCTAAACCCGAAAAATAGGGTTGACCAAAATCAAATGGTAGACCTTAACAACACATGCCCTCCTTTTCTCCAAGGTGGATCCCTTTTTCTCATCATCCTAACTAATTATGATATAAAATTCTGTATTGATCATCTCAACAATCCATATCTACAATTTCTCAAGTCTCTCAATGTCACAGGACTATATTTATGTTGTTATAAAATCAGGTTACAAAGGATTAGAATAAAGATGATCTTCAAGGTGAGATTAGCTTAACTCCTCCAGATCATTCTCTTCATGAACGACAACATTATGACTGAGAATTGAAATGCATTATTTAATTTTTAGTTCTTTTCAGAGATAAAAGTAACCTTAAAAGAAAAAATATATCACCTATGAAAAAAAAAAAAAACAAACAAACAAACAAATCATTTGGTATTTGACAACAAATTATTAGAACTTACCCATAGGTCTGCCCATAAACTAGCTCCAGACTTTGGAACAATTACTGCAACATTTGACATGCGTTTAGCAGCAGGAAGAACATCACTACTCCACCCAACAGCCACCCATACATCTCCCATTCCGAATGCTTTTAAGTAGTGCACACTGTCAAATAATCGAACCTGCAGAAAGCCTTTTAGTGCAGATGTTGTAAAGTTATCATAGAGAAACACCGGCCATAGAACTTCCCTATACTCCCAATTCCCATGTATTGGTACTCTACGAATTTTGAACAACCGTGAAGATGTACCTCAAAAAAGGTTATTAATCTGAACAGGGTTGTAAAACTCAATATACAATTCAAATCTGACCCAAAAGATTAACAGGGTTTGAAATTGACTCAACCACTTGTTAATGCTTTCAGTAATAAAATATTCAACACTTTTGGCTAACAACGTGACATTACATAACAAAAACAGAAAAAAAATGAAAAAAAAAAAAAACAAAAAAAAAAAAAGAGACAAAAACCTGGTCAAGTATTGACTTGACTCAGCTGAGTTGATGAAATTATCAAGTTCTACCAATTATAACTTGCAAGAAAAGAGTCCGAGTAGTCAACTTTGGGGTCAAATCAATAAGTTCTACAATGGAACCACATATTTCTGTTTGGTGTGTAACATTTTTCTACATCCTTTTTCTTAATTGCCTTTGTTTTCCCCCCTTCACTGTTCAAGATAAAGCTCTCCTAGCTGTTGAAACTTGAAAGTGCCCAGAAATTTCAATTTTTATGCATATGATTAGGTCAGGATTAGAAACAATGGTTCTGCCATCATATTTTCTTTTTCCACCCCATTTTAATCATCATAAAGAATTCAACACCAGACCCATTGTGCCACTGAGGAGGCCTTCACAACCATGTTAGATGAGTTCTGGGCATTTCATCTTCATACCTGTTTTTGAAGCAATGCAAGCTTCTGTTGGACAGCATTTCTCCCACCAGCGACTTCAGAGTCAATGTCCTTTGTATTGTATGATGCCCCCATACACTTCAACACCACACCTACAACTTCTCTAGGAGAATCGACCATCGAAATCTTCCCAGCAAGTTGAGGCTGCCATAAATCTGCCCAGTCCTGCAAATTTGATTTACTTACTCCAAAAATACTAGATGCAGAATGTAAAATACTGTTAGCAGAAAGTTTACAGCCACAAAAGTTGATACAAAGAGTGTCAAAGAAGCCATAATAATATACCAACCGATTGCACAGAAGTTGTGATTCCCTGCTGACATTTTTATCCTTATTGCCAATTCGATTAAAAGCATACATTTAAAATAAAAATAAAGGCATTTCAAACAACAAAAACAAAGGCATTTTGACATGCTAATATTCACCCATTACTCGGTTGATCCAAAAGCTACCATCATCATGGAAGTGCTTTAGCAATGGTTTTTGGGACCACAACAAATCAAAGCTAAAAGTCTAATTATTGATTTAAGGAACCAGTCCCTCAGAAAACGCATCCATCAAACCAACTTGGCTTCATGTATTCTATTATGACTATTACGCTCTGATGGAAAGATGAGAAATCTTTAACAACACTGTCTGCATCCAATATGAAGGATAGGAAGTCATATTGTCTTTGATTTTACAATACAAATGCCCATAGAAAACTTGACAGTTTTTAAAGACAAATTACCTCTATAGGAGCCAAATTATACTTTTGAAATTTGCTTTTCTTGTAAGCTATCACCATACTTCCCCATCGATACGGAGCAGCCCAAATTTTACCTCCAGAATATAATTTACCCTCACTGTTCCTGCGTAAATATACCTGAGATTATTTTAGGAGCAGGTACTAAAAGTGTAATGGAGTAGATGCCAAAAGGAAAAGCAACAAAATTCAAGATAATACCATCATCAGCATTTAGCAGTGCTTGCATGCAACAATCTACGTTCTTCAGCACATTAAGGAAAATTATCAAATATCTATCCTTACTAATGGTACTGACGATTGCGATAAACAATTTCCATATACCATTGTGTTGCATGACAAAAGATACAAGGTAAACCAGTATGCAAGATGCCTACTGAGATACTATTCTACCATATACCAATTCTGAGATCAGTCAGGTCAAAGAGCAAACCTCTTTGAATGTTTTAATTTAATCTTTCATCAACAGTTTCTCCCCCCACCCATAATTCATCATGACAGCCTTCTTAATTTCAATGTTGGTTTGTGGAACATAAAATTTCAATGAGAAGCAGAAATAAGAAATTCTGTTCATTTGCAAATGAAAGTGCACTTGAAAATAAACACAGAGCTATGATTATCAGGTCACCTCTGTCCATAATTCATATATATCCCCATAATGCCAAGGCTTTCCACTAATTATTATGGGATTCAATTGATGATTATGTTCACATAAAATGACTTGAGTCACATTAGTTTCAGAAATAATAAAAATGCAGACTACATCCATAAAACAGTCGGTCAGTTTCTCCTTTGCTAAACAGTTAACCTCAGCAGAACCCTGCCCGATATATGAAAGTCGAGAATCTAAGAAACTTGTAGAGGTATCAAAACATAGGAAACGTGAGGGAAAAGGATGGCCATATTGTGCCAGAGAGAGAGAGAGAGAGAGAGAGTGCAGCATCTTCATGATCAAGACTTAACAACAGTACTCAGTGTAATTTTCTAAGGGAGGATGCTATGCCAAGCACTACATTCAATCAAACACATACTAGTTCATCCTCCGTCTTTCTCAATTTTTAACTGAAAATTAGCACGAAAATTTCCAAATTATTATCATATATCTTTACTATATTCCAAATGAATATCAGGATCACATCTGTTGAATCCTTCTTCTATCATCATTTAGCACTATGTTTACTATATTATGATCACATCATCATGAGTAAGCAAGAAGAAGCAAAAATATATGGTATCAAAACATAGCAAACGTGAGAGAAAAGGATGGCCATATTGTGCCAGAGAAAGAGAGAGAAAGAGAGAGTGCAGCATCTTCATGATCAAGACTCAACAACAGTACTCAGTGTAATTTTCTAAGGGAGGATGCTATGCCAAGCACTACATTCAATCAAACACATACTAGTTCATCCTCCATCTTTCTCAATATTTAACTGAAAATTAGCACGAAAATTTCCAAATTATTATCATATATCTTTACTATATTCCAAATGAATATCAGGATCACATCTGTTGAATCCTTCTTCTATCATCATTTAGCACTATGTTTACTATATTATGATCACATCACCATGAGTAAGCAAGGAGAAGCAAAAATATATGATATTTCCCCTCTCCTTCATTTCTTTGGATTCCTATATTAGGAAGGAGAGGTTGAAGAGGAATATTCATACCAAGAGTAGGATGAGTACAGAAGTGAGTGATTCTAGGTTGCTGTGAGTCGACTCACTCCTATAGTTGAAATTTTGATATGACACCACTGAAATGCCAATCCATGGTCATGAATGTTGCCACTAAAAAATGGCATCCCAATAAGTTTGAGTAGATTAAAATCAACAACAGCAAGCAAGAAATGACAATATTGATCACTTATCAAAAAAAAAAAGAAATGACAATATTGATTGAAGTAAGAGTTGACACCAAGTAAAAGGTTGGTATTGCTGGGAAGTCAGAAGTGAAATAAGTTACCTGTACAAAGATATACCATTCTTGTCAAAGCACTATATCGGTAATAAAAACGTGTGGAAAAGATACACAGTAACCAATAACTTATAAGTAGATATATGATTAGTGTTACGACAAACGCAGCGAACCCAAAGATAAAACCAAGAATCACGACATAAAATAAACAAGCCACACAAAGAACAGAACAAAATTATACATGGTTCGGCAAAACCTACGTCCATGGTGGAGATCCGGCGAAAGTTTTCGCTATACGAAAAATAGGAGATTACAAGTTTCAGCCCCTCACTCTCTTTCTTTGCGATTTTCAGTGTGTCAAAATCTCTACCCACTCCAAATCCTAAACGTCCTTATATATCGGGCTACAAGAGAGTACTAATTAGGGTCCCCGACCCACAAGCAAAAAAGGGGTCAAAAAATGACCCACTCCAAATCCTAAATGCCCTTAGGCTTGGTCCACACAAAGCTCATCCAACGGGCCGTCAGTTCGTAAACAGGCCGCAACGCGTCCCGGCACCAAATTCGGGCCACAAACAATACAATTAGAATATTATATATAACATAACAGGCACAACTACCCCTAGAAGCTAGGTACGCTTTCTTAAACCGAGTTCTCTTTATAAATAGCTGACCCCCTAGGGAAACAAAATGACTGATTTTTCACAATAAGATATTTTGGCACATTGACCAAAATGGTGTTATTATCCAGGCACTACATATAACACGCTATTTAATAGAAATGTCAAGTAAAAGACATGTCTGATAACACCCAAAAAAATTGTATCCTTACCTTCCAATTGTCACTCAAGCCTCTAAACCAATCTTGGTCCTCTGCCCCTTGTATGGGCTCAATAAGAGTCTTGTTAATTGCAAAATTGAGCCAGGAATCACCAACAGTAACAATATCAGCTGCCATAGCAGATTTAGGATCAACATTTCCTTTCATGGCTTGCTTAGAGAGATCAGTAAAAATGTCCTCAAGATTTCCACGGAACTCTGAAAGTAACTTCATTCTCCTTCCCTGAGATTGCATAAAATCCTACACGACAATAAGTTAATTATTCTAAAGAACTACCGTTAATTTTTTATTTTTTGGAAAAAACAACAGTGGACAATAAAACAAAGACGATGATGATGGTTACAACAACAAAGAAATATAACTATTGCTACTGCACTGTCACTGTTGCTATTAAAGTTTGTGCAGAAACCTTTACATTGTAACAAGATAATTTCCCAAATGAATCACTTCATTGGGCAAAGAAATAAATCTATGGAGATACTACATTGAACACAAATGATAAACTGCCATATATTTTCTCTCTTTAATAAAATTTTCAGTATCTTATATAACAGTAGGATTATGTTGAGATCAAAGTTAAACAAATTAACTTTCTTGGACATCAAAGAAGTGATAGAACTAGGGCCTAGCGAAGTCAAGAGAATACACATACTTCTTAAGCATAGTTATCAATGGAAAGCCATGGTGCAGACCTTGATCCATGAAGGAGGAACTGAACCACGCACAGCAACAATTTTCAGAGGAACCGTCAAAGCATACGTTTTGGACTTCCAAGTCTCAAATGATGATATCAATTCATTACCTTCAAAGTTCTCCACATTCTCAGATTTTCCCACATCACCATTGTCTGTCCACAAAACATTGTTGTATGTTAACTCTAAAAAAGCTCTCCAGCACAATTTCTCAAAAGAGTAGGAATTCTTTTTCACTCACAGCATTTATAGTAGTAGTTTAACACAAACAAACAAAGATTATATATAACTAAGTAATTGTTAACTTGAAAAAAGAGAACTTAAAAAGTAAAACCAAGCAACGTTATAGTATATATTTCCTATCAACAGATACCTCAAATTAGCTCACTCAGGCAATCATTATTTATATGTGAATATACTTCCTCTAAAGAAAGAAAGTCTGAATGAATTGAGGATAAATATTGAGATATAAATGTCACTATTGTTATGTTTGGGAGCACCGAATCAGGGCCATGGATTTGGGATTGGAGGTGCCACCAAACATAGCAAAAGTTTGCAAATTTATAGTAAGATATTCTACCTATATAAATATAAATATAAATATATATCTATATATATATATTATACTTGTGTGTACCTATAAAGTTGCTTTTGACTTTTAGATTAGTTTGGTAATAATATGAGGCGGGATCATTATAAAATGCAAATTCTTATTCAGCCCGTAAATTTGTTTCTTATAAGAACCATGAGTGAAAATTATCAATTTATTCTGTCCATACAAACTAGTAACTAGAGATTTCATATTAGATTTCCATAACATCCTAACAATTAAATCTCTCAATTACATGATGAGGTATTCCTATTTCACGTCTAGTGAATTTCAGATGAAATTATCATTATCAAAAAAATATTGAAACTAGTATTATAAGTTTTAATTATTAGTATGATATGAGTCATATGACCACCATCGTTCGGAGCTACCTTGAATTCCCTGCTGTTCAACCACCGTCTGACAATCGACCGTGGAAGAAACCGGAGGAATGTGTGTAGTGGCAGCTGCCGAGCAGGCTCGAATGCCGAGGGCGATGAAGAGAATAGCAGAGGCAGCGAGACGGCGAAGCAAGTCGGGAGTTACCTTGAGGTACCTCGGCAATTTTGGAGATTCGCCGGCCGGCGAGTGTGGGGTGAGATTCCGGCGGCCAAGTGTGGCCGAAACTGTTACTGAGAATCTGAGGTTCCGCTGACGAAGAAACAGGGGATTACTGCGATGGAAATGAGGAAAACTAGGGTTTGGGTTGGAGAGAGACGGGATTGACAACAACGCCATTTTGTGCACGAAAGAGTGTGTGCGCGAACGTGTGCAAATATAACTTGCGAAAAACATATATCTGAGTAACTGTGAGCATGCATAGATTTAGATTAGAACTTAGAAAGTTCATAAGCCTCTAACTTCTCAACCGTTCATGATTTGCAATTAGAAGAAAGATTAAAAATAAACATTTAACCTAATACTCTGTGCTAAAATATTTTTTTATTTTATAATGTTTGGTTGCCGTAAAATAGTTACGAAAAAAAAATAAAAAAATAAAAAATAATAATTTATACATATCTCGTCCGATAAACTCGATTTCAACCTGGACGTAGTCCTTTGCCAACCACCGACAAAGTAAAAATAAAAAAATCTTTTACCTGAAAAAAAAATATATAACAGAGCCTAAAAGTAAAGTATCAAATATATATATTTTTTATATCAAAGAAATCATCAATTTACAATTTACTAATTAAAATTTCAGCTTGATTTTTTTTTTTTTTTTTTTTATCGAACTAAATTTTTAATTGGGTGCGTCTTTTATCTATTTCATTCAGTGTTCATGGTTGATATAAAATTTATTTACTCGCAGTTTTATAAAATTATAAAATTAATGTGGTTTATTTATTATTATTTTTTTATCGTAAATAATTAATGTGGTTTAGTTACGAATCACAACATTTTCCATTTTCTTTGGTGATACATCCAATTGTAGTTTAGAAAAATGAGAAAGCAACTCTCTTCCATGCCCATTCAGTTTTCAAAACAGAACTTAAAGCCAGCAATACTTTGTTCATGCAGAATCATTACATCCCAAGAAAACAAACCAAATATACATCGGATGGAACTCACCAAAAATATGTATACAGATTACACACATAGGTTGACAATCTCCACCTATGTACTTGTTAGTTATACAGATTTTATGGGAAAAATTACTCATAATCACATTTACATCTGAACGAATGCACGGAGTTTAGTCTCTAATAAGTGGATTGGATTTGGGTCCTACTTACACAACTTATGAAAATAAAAGAAAGCGAAACCAATTGCTTTCCTAGAAATTTGAAATTTGCAACTATAGAGCCATGGAGATGGAGCACAAAAGCATGAAAACGAAATGGTGTCTTCATGGTGGAGAACTTCCTTCAACTATCTTGCTTACTGGAGCTTTATCTTGCCTTTCTATATACGCGGAGGGAAACCATCCGGCTTCACCATTGCATTCACCTTCTGACCATCCATTAGGAGTCACCTGTCAAGGATCACAACCCAAAAACATATATTTTTTAAAATACAAATGATCCAGCCCTTGAAAATATACAAGTTAACACAAGGGATATTCAACTAAAACATACTCATATCATAACAGTTATGTACTGTCAAGAGCATATAGGAGGGAACATGTCTCTGAAATCCTTTCTCAAAACTCAATCTATCAAAAATATGTATCAGCCAACGGCTAGATGTTAAAATACATCATAAAGTTCCAACTCAACCCATCCCATGACCTACCAACAAAAAAGGAAACCTTGAACAGAGAAGCTATCACTAATTTGACTGTAAAGGATGAATACAACAGGGAATTTTTTTTGACCAAAAAACAAATTTGTTTCTTAATGTTGAATTAATCATGACCGCTCAACCTCTGAATCACTTACAATTAAAACACGCAAGTAAGGTAAAATTGATTTAATATTATGTGATCTCAGTAACAAGTACCATATAGCATTTGAACCAAAATTTGTTTTGCAGTAAAACGTGAATAACCAATTTATGAGTGAAAGTGTGGTCTGCTAATCCCTTTCATAATCCAAAACTATGCCGCCTGAATTAAGAACTTCATTCTATAGCCTATTTAGCTTCTCATGTGGGAAAATACAACTGCCAAAGTCATCTCACTAATCCACTTTTCAGTTGTGGCAGTCATCCATGCAATACCTATGGCGACATAGGTCAAACGCAAGTTATCTTCCTCTCTCTTTTTTCCTTCTAACTTTGATAGAAAAGTCAACATAAAAATTAATTTGTAGGGCGCCATTACTCACTACAGCATAAGCTCAGCTATCAAGCATGAAGCACCCTTGTGTACAAAAGCAGCCACTTTCATGCTAATATAATTGGAGGTCAGGTTTGCGTCTGATTCATCCCTAGAATTATCCCAGATCACAGGGGACCAACAATGATTACTGACCTACTTCCAAATACAGGTTAAATGCACATTATGCCTCTTTAATGGAATTTATCCATCATTATTAATAATTTAAAATAAATTATGCTCAAGAAAACAATTTATAATGTTTCTTTATGGTCAACTGACTACTTGAAACACATTTATTCAAATAAAGGAAAATACATGCAGGACCATGAATATAGGAGCATGCAATAGGTATATATATATATACAAAATATGTACAGTTGTGATCCATTGTCTAAACAGACTATATGTCCATATACAATTGGTCTTCAACTTGAAATTTCAGAAAAAAAACTCCCTTTTAATTCTTACTTACAACAGCACGAGGAAAAAAAAAAAAAAAAAACACTAAAAGATAAAAGTAACTTCATTGGAATCTTTATCGTTTTGAACGCAGCTTCTATAAACATGAGACCTTTTCTACAAGATTCCTTCTAATCTTCTAAAGTATTTTGCACATTTCCAAAATATATTGAGATTTTATTTCTTTTTATGTTAATATCTAGAATAAAGATCCTCAATTCCATGCTTCTTTTGCCTCATTTAATTTCATCTCCAATGATGAAAAAATTGACCAATTATGATTGGTTATCATGATCACAAATCAGACACAATTTCAAAACCAGCGTTCTGGTCTTATTTGAACAGGCAATGTCTTCTAGGCTACGCTATTAACATAGGTTGAAGACTTGCTCCAGAATAAGAAACCAGGAAGTTGAGATGCCCAAAAGAATCACCACTGACAAACACAGTGAGTTTAGAGAAGGAAAACGGAATATATAGAACTGATTCAATGCAGTACCCCCTTAGCCCCAACTCGCTCTGTGAAGATACGGGGTTGAAACTTGAAACCACGGGAACCGGCTATTACTCAACAGATTGAGCTTTTAAGGGATGAATGGCACTGGAACTATCAAAGACTTGGGGTAACTTATTCATTCATGCAGAAGCCCTTTTACTACACCACGGCATGGCCAAGGCATTGTCCAGAAACTATACATTGACAATCTAACCATGCTATATAAATATAAAAGAACTGACAGTTCCAGAAAGTGTGGCTATAAGAGTGAGGAAAGTTCACACATTTCTACTTGAATTAGGCAGAGACAAGCAGTACCTGACGAACTACAACATAATCATCAACTGAAAGACTTAGCTCGCCATCGGCTTGAGCGTCAAAAGAGTGTATAACCTTCAAGACAAAAAAAAAAAAAAAAAAAAATTCAGAACTTGAAATGAAAGAGGAAAAATGGGCAAAGGCAACTGTGAACATAATATCTCAAAAGACTAATAAGAGTCATGGCATTTCAACAATATTGACAGAACATGCATAAACAAGTCATTCAATAAAGGAATCATTTCAGAGATAAGTTAGAAAACTTCTGTCAAAAGGTATCTATGTGAACCTTAACATTCACATTTTCAGAATATATTGAACTTGAAACTTGACCAAAAACCAGTGTTGCTAATTACACCCAGGTTGGACCAAGTAATTTCTTGAATTAAAAAGAAAACTTCAAAGAAAGTTAATGAATAATGAAAAGATCACCATCTAGTGACCATCTTTCACAATGAGAAGCCGAATGGTTACTTAGGCACCGTGGAACCCAAAATACATCAGAAGACAGTTACAAAATTAGATGTTTCTTCCAATTATAGGAGGAATATGCAACCATCCCAAAATTATATGGTCATAAGCCACACAAACAATGGGCAAAGATGATGCCTACACTTTTACATTGTAAAGAGACAACATTGATATAGATTGATGAGCAACAACATAAATCATATAGATTGATGGTGATGAATTTAATTGGGGGGCGGGGGAGAAAGAAGAGAAATGCCTTCTATACAATAATGGATTCTATGGGAGTTCAAAGGCCTTACTTTTGCAATAAAATAGGTATTATTTTCATTCTCATTTCCATGATCATCAGATCCATTTGAAGTAGTATCTTCAAGTGCTGATGGAACATGCAAATCTCTCTGCATAGTATCTGGTGGCGATGAAGACTCGTTTAGTTGCTTCTCTATAATCATCTAACTCCAACAAAACATTTGATATTCAATTATAATCTATGTCACAAAAATAACAAATAAGGAAAAAGAAGTTACTAAAAACACATAATTCTATCTGTTCCAACAAAGGTGCAGACGTATACTGGGAAGAACATTCAGATGCAAAGCCAGGAAACATAATTACAGACCTCCGCATGTAGCTTCTCTAACGTAGTCACAACATTTTGATGCCAAGATCTCTCAGCATACATCTGTAAATTGAACTCATAAGAGGTCCCATAACTAAACAATTTTCAACCAACAAAAAGAAAAAAAAGAATCATGCAGGAGAGTATAATGCCACAAACTAATCCAAATTCTCATAGTGAAAACATATACAAGAAGACACCATTCTCACCAAAACAGGTGTGCAACTTTACAGTCAGAAGTTTCAAATACCTCAGCAGTTTAACTTGTTATAATGATAGTTGAATGAGTGTACTAAAGCATAATTGATTTTCTGAAACTGACAACAAAGCAAACTTTGACCAAGATACATAGAATATATATATATTTATTTATATGAACATCCCTGAAATATAAATAGGATTAATATTGACCCCAAATATAGAGTTCCCGTGTAGAGGGAGGGGAGGGGTAGAAGAGAGGTAAAATAATCAAATGTAACCTCATTTTGGCCACAAAGGATTTTTGCCAAAGAAAAAGTAAACTTGGAAATCCTCTTTTCATTTTCATTTTTCTTTTTTCCCCTCTTCTTGCTTATGTAATTTGCAATGTATATATTATATCTCCGCATATCACTCATATCATTAGTACCTTATTTGCCACAACTCAACACGGAACATGCCTAGCAGTGGAAGGAAGAGAAGATAAAATAAATAAAACAAAAAAAAACACACCGAGACACATAGGACAATATATATATATATATATATGACATCTAAGCATCTCTTAGAGATGCTTAGATGTCAACAATCCTTGCCTTCACCAGCATTCTTCTATTCTTCTTTATTCTTTATCTTTTACCTTGGGAAGTAACTCACACACCGCTTTTTGTCCCTAATGGGACTTGAACCCCCAACTTTCCACTTAAAAGGATGGAGGAGATACCATTGGGTTATTGTCTTTGGTGGTGCGTTATTCTCTTCCTTTTTGCAAGACTTTTTTTTTCTTCCAATCTTTTATAATGTAATCTACAATCACATTCTGTATTTCTATAACTTCACATCCAACAACCACGTATAAAATTTAACGTGTTTGCAAAGATTTTTGAAGAGGAAAATAAAGGTAATGAGAAAACAGCCGATCTATTGCACATGGTTTTATGCATGTTACTTAACCTGGAATGCTTTTTACTTTCTGTTACGAATACTTTCTATGGGAAAAATCCAGTTCTACAGGTTTGCAGTGCAATTATAAAAAACTTGCAGCGCACAATATCTTGTCACTCTACCCAAACTATTTTTGAGTTTAGACTGAAAAATAAGGGAAAGCAGCCACAAGATGAGCCCACAATAGAAAAATATGTTCGAGCAAAATGTTTTGTGGGACAAACATGTAAGCAACACTTGTGCAAAAATGAATGAAGTTTGAACTCTGAGTTCTCATATGGATTAACATCAACAGCAAAAGAAGTTGGGTACTCATTATGCCATCGCATAATCAGTGAGAATTAAAGAACTTGCAAAGCCATGCCAACAAAATATATATACCGAAAACTAAGAAGCAATACCATGGTAAGAAGCTTTTGGAAAGTAATCTGTTGCTGCTGAGACTCCACTGATAACATCGCAGCAGTAGCTTCTCTTCCAAGTGCCATTGTAGAAGATTTAAGATCATTTAATTTTGCTTCTGCATGCTTAAACTTTATGGAACTCTCTGTGGATATAGAAGGATCTCTGTTCTTAGATTGGCGCCTTATCACTTCAGCCGCCTGAAAAAAGATATTCACTACATAATTACAATAACTCCTGTAGTCTAACCAAATACACCCAGATTTGAAACCGAAGAGTACCTGAGCTTCCGCTTCTTGCCGGAGTCTGTCATAACAGTGGGTCAAGTGGCGAGCATCTTCTAGAGGAGCTCCCATTATCGATGCCCGTAGTGGCTCAGAAACCTACAAATTAGAAACCACGTTTTAACACAGAAAACACAAAAAAGAAGAGAAATTTCAAGAATTACTCCACAAAATGAGAGATCACAATATCGTAGACTAGATCCTGAGACTTTTATTTCCTTTTTATTATAAAGATAGTCAAAAGGTAAGAGGTGCTTCATTTACAGGGCGTATGCAACAGAAAATAAAACCTAGAAGACCACTCAACACAATTAACTAAAGGCCAACCATGAGCGGTGTTTGGAGGTGCATATTGCGAACAAAAATAACTTTCGTTATTACTTGCACATGGATACTCAAATATTCACACCCACATTTTCACACTTGACAGCCCATATAACCTATCCAAAGACAAGTAATTGAATCCAAAAATTCAATCAACTCTCCTACCCAATAAAAATGCCAATCCTCATGCCTTGACAGACTAAATGTCAAATATCTTTAACCACCAACCATCCACACTGCTGTATTCATTGAATGGAAAGACAAATAAGAACTAGAAAGTTGGCTTTGAAATCTTAAAAATGAATTGTGGGCCCAATGACAATAAAAAAGTCCCTATAGTTAAATATTAAAGTTAGTGAGGCAAGTCTGATTAAGTGCTTCGTAATTAACATGTGGCCCGTCAAAACCTGTAAAGAATTTCAGTTTGGGCTTATATGGCCTTACTTAAGCTCACATTTAAAGGGATATATTAAACAATCATAACATAAAAATAACCTCTCTTCTCTCATTTTACCATTTTCTTGATCAAGCTTTTTGTCTATTTTTGTGCATATCTATGCCAGTATATACCTGTATGCACTTCAAGGGTTATAAAATACTTTTCGTTTAAAAATGATCATATCCGAGTCTTTTTTTTATTCTTTATACACACACACACACACACACACATATATAACTACTAAGACTTCTACAGTAATGAAAAGGTTGGGCAGCTATTAGACCAGTTGTGTTTTATGGGACAAAATGTTGGGCAGCTAAGAAATAACATATGCATACTGTGCCTGTAGCGGAAATGCGAAAGTTGTGATGAATGTGCAACAAGACAAGAAATGATAGAATTAGAAATAAGTATATTCGTAAAATGGTTGATGTAGCACCAATTGAAGATAAATTGAGAGAAAATCAATTAAGATGGTTCGGACATAAACAAAGAAGACCATTAAGTGTGCTGGCTAAGAGTGACCTAGTCCACATAAAGGGTAATGCTAGAGGAAGGGGAAGACCAAAATTAACATGGTAAAGTTAGTAAGAAAGGATATGTTAACATGTAGATTGACTGAATCTATGCCATTGAAAAGGACGGAATGGAAACGGGATTCATGTAACCAACCCAAGTAGTCGGAAAAAAGGCTTTTATAAGGTTATTCATTCTTGTTGATGCTTACTATAGTGTGTGTGTATATTTTTGTTGTTGTTGTTGTCATCGTCGTCATGATTATGGTTCCAATTCGCTTTATAGAAATTACTTTTCCTCTCCCCGAAAGGAATTCTAATCCCTTGTTTGTACTTCATTCCTTTTGACCTTTCAAGGTGTTTCTTCACTAGGAAAGTGAAAGGAGAATACATGTCTGCATTTAATTTATTTTCACCAAAATTTCCGGGTTACTATTCTTTGCTTGAGAGAGCATAAGATATTTAAAAAATTCCAGCCAAATGGTGCGGAGTTTATTTTACCGCAGGTTGCATCTAGTATATTGTGTGATCAGCATATCCCCTTAAGATTGAAAGGGAAGTTCTATTGAATAGTTATTAGACCTGCCATACTTTATGGGACAGAATGTTGGGCAATTTAGAAACAACGTATGCATAAAGTGAGTATGGCGGAAATGTGAATGTTGAGATGGATGCCCAGTAAGACTATAAATGATAGAATTAGAAATGAACACATTCGTGAGATGTTTGAGTAGCCCCAATTGAAAATAAAATGACAGAAAATTGGTTGGGATGGTTTGGACATGTGGAATGTGCCAATTAGGAAGAGTGATGTAATCCACATTGAGGATAATACTAGGAGAAGAGGAAGATCAAAATAAAAGTGGGTAGATTTAATAAGGAAGGGTATGGTAACATGTGGTTTAACTAAGGCCATGACCTTAGATAGAGCGGAATACAAACATAGGATTCATGTAGCCGACCTCGAGTAGTTGGAAAAGGCTTTGGTAGTGGTGGTAGTTAATTCATGTGTCCCATCCTCAAAACACTATATTTTGACATCAGTTTAATATTTCTCTTATAATGAAACAGGTGTAAGTATAACCTGATCATGAAGAATTCCAAGCATAGTTTCTCTCTCATTTTCTATTGAACTCCGTGATTTACCAAAATGCAGAGCAGCTCTAGCAAGAGGGGAAGAGGCATTTTGATTCTCAGTCCCATATTTGCAACAAGCTTCAGCCAACTTTCTTCCTACAGAATGCAAGGTGATATTCTTAAATCTGACTTGTAATGGAAGCAACATAGACAAAGAAGCAAAACCAGACTTACCTATCTCCATTTCCTTTTTGCTAGTTGAAACAAAGCCCTCAATACTGCGGACAATATCCCTCTGAAAATGCTGTGACGTAATGAATTTAAGACTTGGTTACATAAAAGCTCCATTATGTTGGCCAAAGTTATGCCAGGTAATTTATATATTAGATAAACAAACCAACTTGACAAAACTGGAGATCACTTGGCAATGAAACAATAACTATACCTTAGCTGCCCTTGTAGAATTGTATAGATTTTGAAGCTGTTGGTGACACTGAACTTCATCATCATCAATCATTACTGCATTGATGCCCAGATGTCCCAGTTGTCTCAGTACCGCCTGCCAAATAACAAACATGAAACTGCCATGAATGACAGAAAATCAAAGCTTAAAACCAACATGGAAGCCACTCTATGACTGATGCACATTTTTCGAATAAATATTTCTACACTTGATAAGTCAAATTTGCAAACATAATTTTCTTTCTCGCTGGAAAAATAAGACAAGCCATGATATAGCACAATCATGATTACAAAGACGTACCAACAAAAAGAGAAAAGAAAAGAAAAAAACCACATTCAGTTTTTCTCTAATTTGATTACAAATGGTAGAAAGAGATCACAAAATTGAAGCTCATGACAATTGAAGCATCCACGTGATGAGAATCATAGATTTTGCTGTGGATGCAGATACTAACATACCTCATAAATACAAAATTCATGCTAATTTTTCAATTTTTTCTGTAAACAGATACATAAAACTTTATCAAGAGATTAACATGCCATGCATAAAGCTTTGCAGAAACAGGAGATAACACCACCGGATAAAAGTATACATGTATATATATGTGCGTGTAATATATCTATTTAAGTCTGTATAAACAGAGGAGCTTCCTTCTCACTTTTTTCTTCAATCAATCAATGGAGTGTTTAGTCGCAAATAGAGTTTAGTGAGTCTCACAGACTGCCTGTGAAAGACTGTAACAATGGAAGTTTCCAACTCATTTCTCAGTATTTGCATCCATTATCCAGACTACTGCATCCATGTTTAGGGGGTTATTATGGAAGTAATAATGAATTGTGCATGTGGTTCAAATTTGTATATCATCATCCGCAAATAATTCATCAACTAATAACCAAATTTAAATCATCATATTGTCTTCCTTAGCCTGGTAAGTTTATCTCGGTAGAGGGGTTACACACACTATTTGCTGATTATCTCATTGTATTTCTCCCTCTTATTTGATATATCATTCATCTCTACCTACTTGAATTACATTAATGTATCACAAATACTCTCAAGGTTCTCTGAACAGGAAAACCAACATGGATCAGGTGGACCAAAACATGTTAACTGATATATTTACTACAGATCACGATTAAAAATAGAGCACTTATATGAATATTATACAACGACAAACTACTGGGTCTTTCCAAAATGCCATGAATCGAATCACCTAAGCAGAGAGGCATCTGTACAATCACCAACATGAAATAAAAATAAGGTCACTTAGCATAATATTAAATGCCCTTGTTTCAAATTTGTTAAATGAAACAAAAGACTCATTTCACTTGCAATAAAATTAACAACAGGCTTGGGTAAAATCCTATCTAGAACACAATGTAATCATTTCAATCCTTTAATCCTATTTTCATTGTAATAATTCCAATCCTATCTACAACACAATGTCTCCCAAGAAAAGTAGTTTAAATTTTCAATGCTTTAATCCTATTTTCTGTAAAAAGTGCATCATATCATAGAAAATAGAAAGAAACATAATTTGCAATAAACAAATAATCCCTAATTTGGGCATCAAACACTAAAATAATTACGTCCTCTCTCTACTACAAAATCAGGGAAACATAATAACGCAGCAGAACTTGATCATCTACATCTTTGTTGATTAGTATTGTTTGCCTAGTATTGTTTGCCAGAGTGTTATAACAGAACCACCCATTCAATTTCGTTTCCATTTTCACTAAAATTTTCCCAACATCCAAACGGAAGGTTAAGTAGAAGATACCTGCTGTTGCTTGGCAACTTGTTCCCTCAACTTGCTTGCTTGTCTCTTTATTGCGTCCATTTTGTATATCGACCTACCAATGTTGCTTCGTTCTACAATCCCAGAAGAGAATACACAGATAGATACAACTATATATATTGATCCATATATTTACAAGAAAATAGAAGACAGAGAAGTTATATGAGGGAAATTGGAGATGCCCAACACAGACTTGCAGATTAAAAAAAGGCTTCTTCGTCTTCAGTCAGTCAGAGCCTGACCCAATCAACAGAAGAGAAGAAAGACGCAGAATGAGAATTGAATAGTACAAACAGTGGTTGTGTTTTTGGCATATAAAAACGTTTTGGAGTGGAAAAGTGGGTAGGAGTGTCGAATAACTGCAAAGTAATTACAATAGAATTTTGGCACAGTGCTGTCTTTATGACCTAATAAAGCCGCCCGTATCCCTCTTTCGCAAATGGCACGTGCCTTGCTACATTTTTTTATATACTAATTATTATTATTATTATTATTATTATTATTGCTTTTAGGATAAATTACACTTACACCCTTGATTTTTTGCTTATTGACAGACTTATACCTGAATGAGCCAATTTTTAACAATAACACTCTTTCTTTGATGAAGAAAAGACAGACACCATCAATAGTCATCTGCCACGTTTTGATACATGGTAAATTGACCACGGAATTTTCCCCTAGCCCGTACAATTATTAAAAAATTCCCTATAAGTGGCCCTAGTGGAATTTGAACTCCTAACTTCCGTAACTGGACTTGTTATTCTCGTCGGTTGTCAGATTAAACTACTATATCTTTAACACTTGTTTATATAAACTAGTCCTAAGCCACAAAAAAAAATCATCTCCAATTATTCTTCCACTGAAGAACGTGTAGTGAATATTTAACAGTGGTGATTAACGACACCTCCCTATATAGTTTTGTCAGCGTCAGCGTCAAGTTAGCGAGTCAATAAAGAAATTTATTTTTGCTTTACCATATATACAAATACCATTCTATATGTTATACGATATATTATACAATATTATTATACAAATTTAATTTTACATTTTGATTGAAATAAAAATAAAATTAAAACGCAAAATAACCCCACTTTAAATTTTAAAACAATTCAACAAAAATTAAAATATGTATTACTCAAACAAAATTACAAGGAAGAACAAATTATATAATTATGGGTTATTAGGGTTAGTATACACTTACCTAAAAAATAGATCCAATTAAACTTTAATTTTTGCACCATAAATTAAATCTTACCCCCCTAATCTTAAATTATACCGAGAATGATAGAAAAAAAAAAAAAAAAAAAAAAAAATTTGTGGCGAAGAATATATATTTTTTTTTCTTTTTTTCTTGTGCATCTTTTTATGTAGTTCTTCTATTCTGAGTGGTTTCCTGGGTTCTTATTATTTTTTAGAGTTTTCTTTATTTCTTTTGGAATGTTCAAATTTCAACCAAATGAAACCCTGTTGCAATGCTGGTGATTGATAATTAATTCATGTTATTAAATTGTTATAAGTTATGGAGGGCCTAAGCTAAGCATTAGAAGTTAAATTAGTAAATATAGAGAATTTGTCACTCCAAAATTTATCAGAAGCACTAATTCATGGTGGCTATGGAGACATATGCAATTAGTAAACAATGATACATAATACTTAGACACATAAGGAAAACTTTTAATTTAGTGTAAAGTACATTGACACCCCCTAAGGTTTGGGGAAAGGACAAGCATAGAAAAGTTAGCATGTTTTTGGACAATGACACCCCTTCAAGTTTGAAAAATGGACAAAGAGACCCTGAAGATGGTGAATTGACCTTATTACCCTTTCAAATAAAATTAACATTTTAATTGACTTAAATAACCTTTGATTAAACCCAAACCCGAACCCGAACCCGCCTGCGTATATTATACAGAGAAGGGAGATCAGATGGATGGTGGTTGTGGCCGCGGTGGTGGGTGTAGAGAGAGGGGGAAGAGAGGGGCGGCCATAGTTGAAGAGATGAGGTGAAGAGTAGAGAGAGGAAGAAGCATCGGCAATGACTGCGATAGTGGGGGTGGCGGCGATGACTGTGACAGTGGCGGCGAAACCCAGAAGCATCGGCGAAACCCTGAAATTGCCGGCGAGGACCAAGCTCCGATGACGACGCGGCCACGGACTGAATAGTGTGGCGAAGTTTAGAAACCGAGTAACAAGAGATCGACGAGCAAAAACAATCCGGCGAGGACCAAGCTCCGATGTTCAGATAAGCACAGTCCGGCGACCGTCACCTGCAAGGCCGAGGAGGCTGAAGTGGCCATCGCTTCTGCCGTCCGTTTTGAGTCCAATTAGAGCCCTTTTCCGTGCGAAGGTGAGAATTGGGGATGGTGATGTGCACAGATGAGGGGGTGATATATATGTGTGTGTGTGTGGGCGTGTGTATGAGAGAGGGGAAGAGGGTGGTGGCGGCGGCGGCACCGATCTTATCCTCAAATCTTCCCTGCAGGCTCAAACATCAACTCTCTACCGCTGTCAAGAATGAAAGAAGCCGGCGTGGGGAACGTCTCTGTCAATCCCGGTCAAACCCTGCTTGTCCAAGGCCGAGTTCGCAGCCCGAACCGAGGCTGAGCTCCGGCGAGGTTGAGGAGGTGGCAGTGGCAGAACTCCTTTTTGGCGTCTTCTTTAGTGGGTGGTGATTATGGAGGTTGGGGGTTGGTGGAGATTGGCGGCGGTGGTGATTGGTTGTTGGTGTGTGCGTGTGTGTGTGTGTGTGTGTGTGTATAAATATATATGAAAAGGGTATTTTGGCCATTTAAGTTTTAAATATTTTATAATTAAAATTAATAAAATAGTGAAGGGTAAAATGGACTTTTCACTTGATTTAAGGCTCTGTTTGGAGGGCAAATTTCACAAGGGGGTGTGTTTGTCCAAAAACAAGCCAACTTTCTTCTGTCTGTCCTTTCCTCAAACCTCAGGAGGTCTCTTTGTACTTTACCCTTTAATTTATCTTCCTTCAAAATCATAAAAGTTAACCAATTTAAAAACAGTAATACAATCCTACAAAATCTACTTACCATAATCGTATATGCATGATTCAATAATCATTTTGAGGGAATATGATGGGAAAATCACTTGAATGATTCAATAAGGGGCCATTTGATGGTTGAATGGTAAATTCTCATACTGCGATGCATAAGAATATCATGAATTTGAGTCCGAGAGCAATCTATTCATAAAAAATAATATTTTAATTCTTTATACGTTGCACTATTCTTAGTCAAATCATATTCGATAATGGTAACAATATGTTATTGTTCTTTTAATACTCAACACTAAATAGAATTCTTCAGAAAATGAAGTTAAAACAAAGCCTCAAATTCAATGCCATTAAAATTGATTGTTGAAAAAAAAAGAAAAAAAGTCCCTCTTTATTTTTAAATGAATTGAAGAAAAATGAAAAGGTAAATTGTTAATAAAACTTTTAGTGTCTTGACTTACCTAACAAAAGTTCCTATTGTCAATCGTTACAGATAGGAGAGGAGTATATGAAATGTAAAGAGGTATCAAAATTTATTATTACTTTTAAATACACTTTTATTTGTTTAAAATTACTAATTTAATAAGTTTCTCATAAGAGATCGATGGTATGAGGTATCAAAATTCATTAGTACTTTTAATACGTTTTGATTTAATGATAAAAGAAAAAAAAGCTAATTTTGTATTTTAAAAAAGTATGAAAAATGTTAAGAAATTCAAAAAATCATAGTAAACTGATTGTTGGAAAAATCAAAAAGTCAATTCTGTGCCAATAGCGAAGGGTAAACGCTCAAGAATGAGACATGAATCCATGTGCCAAGGCAGTTGAATGGAATATGATAAATAATTGGAGAAGAAGTAGGAGTTTTTCAGATATAAATTATATATTTTAAATTAATTATTAATTATAAAATGATAGTTTCTTAAAATAATAATAATAATTTTTCTTAATTTAATTAACCGCGAATTGCCACCTTCGTCACAATCCACAACCACATCCGCCGCCACCACCACAGCTGCCACAACCGTCTTATCACATGGTTTGTTGCTTTATATAAATCTTTAACCACTTTCTAATCAACATTATTTTAGCGACTATTCTTCAATTAAAAGCTCATCATTCCAAATAAAACTTTCATTAATCTATTTTGTATAGTAAGTACTGTAATAGCGACTAAACACAGATACTTAGCCAAAAAAAGAAAGAAAAGAAAACAGAGTAAAAGTTTGGCGGTGGAAGACTCAACTAGAGTCTAGTCCAAATTCAACTGTGGTAATTGCGATGGTGGTGGAGGCAGTATAGGTGGTGTGATGGAGGTGGCAATGGCGGTGGGGTGGCGGAGGCGGAGGCGGAGGCGGAAATGGTGGTAGAAGGCGGCGATGTCAGATCAAAAAAATAATTTTTTTTTGCTTTTAATAAACTATCTGTTATGATCATTTCTTAGTTAATGATTAATTAAATAAATAATAATTTCCTAAAATAGCTATTTTCAAATTAGTGGTGAGAAGAGTAAAATGAATAGTAGTGGAATTAACCTGGTGATTGAAGAGCCAAAACTTTAATCTGACTCAAAACGACACCGAATAGTCGGAACAAGATATATATATATATATATATATATATATATATATATATAGATTAGAGAGTTAATATAGAGAAATTGATGATGTCTCGGCCGCTTCAAGCAAAGCAGAGAGATGAGTGAACCTTTTAAGGCAGATAAAATGTGTGTTGAATGAATAACCAACTAGTCAAAACAACAAGCCACTCCGGGACTCAAAATGCAGTTACCGGTCAAACTTAGAATAACATGGACTGTGCACAGAATATTTTGATTATTTATGTATTTTAAACGCCTGTAAAAACATTATTTTTTATATTTATAATTATACATTAAATTAATATAGTTTTGTCAAAAATAGAAAGGAGAGTTTGTTTATAAGATGATTTTCACTCATTTAAAACTGAGGAGGCCCGAAGTGACATGGGCCGGATATGACTTGCAAACGCAACATCCGGTCCGTACAGATGGGTCAGGCCCATAGAAAGACACTGCCATATGGGCCGAATGCGAATAACCCATCAAAGATGACCAGAACTCATAGAGGAACAGGCCTAGATCCAGCAGTCCATCAACATTTGTAAATATCTATAAATAGGAGAAGTAATAGATAGAGGAGGGGAGATATTTTTTTGGTTGAAATGTAAGAATTCTAGAGAGAGAAAGGGAGGAGGAATTTCTTACATTTTCAATTGGCGCCGTCTGTGGGAATCGTGGAAGATTGATTGATCATTGATCAATATCGCGTGGATTCAGACCAATCCGTGGGAACGAAACTCAATCTTTGGGAGTT